ACCTCTCACACATCTCACACCTCTCACACCTCTCACACACCTCACACATCTCACACCTCTCACACATCTCACACCTCTCACACCTCTCACATCTCACACCTCTCACACATCTCACACATCTCACACCTCTCACACATCTCACACCTCTCACACCTCTCACATCTCACACCTCTCCCACCTCTCACACCTCTCCCACCTCTCACCTCACACCTCTTACACCTCTCACACCTCTCACATCTCACATCTCACACCTCTCACACCTCTCATTATCTCACACCTCTCACATCTCTCATTATCTCACACTTCTCACATCTCGCACCTCTCACACCTCTCACACCTCTCACACCTCTCACATCTCACACCTCTCACACCTCACACCTCTCACACCTCTCATATCTCACACCTCTCACACCTCTCATATCTCACTCCTCTCACACCTCACACCGCTCACACCTCACTCCTCTCACACCTCACACTCTCACACATCTCACTGTGGCTGCTTCGATCTCACCAAGTTCCCCTGCCGGGTTTCCCCCAGGGTCAGAGAATCTGCGTTCCTGCGTCTCCCCGTTCTTTATTTTGAGGCACTTAAAGTTAGAGCTGTATGGACTTGTACCACCAAGGCCTTTTGTGTCCCAGATCGTACAATCCCAACCAAGCAAACAGAGAATCATCCCCAACAGACCCAACCCTAAAACCAAGCCACACATTAGAATCTTTTGCACCCGTGGCCCCAATCCCAAAGTCCAATCCCACCCTTCTAAGGGGTTCCATCCATCCTTCACCATCAGCTCCTGTAACTGTTGGAAGCTTTTGGGAATGGAGGTTGATTTGTCACATTCCATCAAATCCTTCCCATCCCTGTCCCTGTGCCGGAAGCAGACAGTCTCCAGCAGCTCTGGTTTGCAAAGCAGGAATTCTCACTGACTGAACATCAGTCAATAAATCTGCAGTGGCCTGACTGGTAGCATTTGTCTGTTTTGCTGACCAACATCCTCATTTATTTAATGCCTCTGCATTAATTAATTTATTTATTTAAGTTATTAAAGCCTTTGCAGCTGCCACTCCAGGTGCTAGGAAAGAGGCAACAGTTCTTGTCCCCTGATTCCAAAATTCTGTGTTATCCCTTGAGGTCTGTCCAGCTGATGATAAGGAAAAAAGCTCAGGAGCAGTTAACTGAGGGTGAGATAAGGAAAAGGTTTAATTTGTGCCAAGGCATAGATGTTATGTTACATTTTATAGCACCATCTGTCCAATCCCAAGTGTTTCCACCCTGTAGCCTTTGCTCTGGTCCTCCCCCGGCCCAACCCCTGGGAATTGGGTCTGGGGACCTTTTGGGACCACCTCTTCATCCCCATCACCATCTTCGGAGCACAAAGGGGACGTGGTCACCCAGTTCTTGACTGTGTTCTGTTGTTCAGGCCAAGACAGGAGTGTTCTCCAAACAGCAGAGGCCTTGCCTTGACAAGAGACTGAACATTTCTACTGAATTCAGGGGTGGGATTGATTTGGGGTGCAGGGAATGGGGTGAGAGGGTTGAGGATTGTGTGAACTACTTGTGCTACAGGGTGAGGGAACGAGGGCTGCTGCTTCTAAAATCTGCTTCTACTTCTTATAAAACTTCTAAAGCTTATGAAATTAGAAAAATAAGAAACTAGAAGGGTCTTAAGGCCTCGCCTTGCATTCACCAGTGAAGGTGTGTCCGTGTCTCTTGGACCTGTTATGGTGTTTTTGGATCACTGTTGTGTTGGGAAGGTTCTTCCTCCACCTCCTCAGGTCTCACTGGGATCTGATAATTTAGGATTTTTAGGTTCTTCCTTCTCCTTAAGAGGGGGTCATCAAAGTCTGTGATAAACATGGGAATTGAGTCACTTTTGAGGTCCTGGAATTTGCACTAAACCTCAGGACTCAGGCTGGATTTTTCCTTTTTTTTTTTTTCTTTTTTTTTTTTTTTTTAAATCAGAATATACAGGCCTTTTGTTGTTGCTTACAACACTTAATACAATTAAATTTAATGCAGTTTAATAACATTGAAATTTAACAAAAGGGAATAAAATCCGAATTTCAGTTGATATAACTCACATTTAATACCACTGCACACCATTTAATACAATTGAAATTTAAACAAATACGGCTTAATGCAAGCAAATATTATTATACAACAATATATATTGTTATATATTATTATACAACTTAAATACAATTTCAATTTAAATTAAAATCATACAACTTAATGCAAGTAAATGTTATTTAATACCATATAAATGTAAACTAATACAACTAGAATTTATACATTTAAATACCATTCAATACAATCTGAATATCAATTAATAAAAATTAAAATGAATACAAATAAACACAATTTGATGCAATTTAATAAATACGATTTAATACAATTACTTAAAAATTTAAATTAACACAACTTTAAGTTATTGCAAGTAAATGCCATTAATTTAATGCCATTTAAATTTAAATGAACACAAAGTTAGTACAAATAAATACAATTTAATGGAATTTAAATTTAAATTCATACAACTTAAACTTAATACAACTTAAAGTTAATACAAATCAATACAATTTAATGTAATTTAGATTTCAATTCATACAACTTAAAGTTAATGCAAGTCAATACTATTTACTGCCATTTAAATTTAAACTAACACAACTAGAATTTATGCATTAAATCCAATTTAATACAATTTAAATATAAGTGAATACAGCTTAAAATTAGTACAAATACAATTTAACGCAATTTAGAGTTAAAGTAATACAACTTAAATGCAAGCAAATGCTTTTTAATGCCACTTAAATTTAAAGTAATACAACTAGAGTTTATACTATTAAATACAATTTAAGAGTTTATACTATTAAATACAATTTAATTCAATTTAAATAGAAATGAACACAACAAAGTTAATATAATTTGAAATAAGATTACCTGTTAAATGGATACCAAGAGCTACAAAACATGTACGAAATCAACTATTTGCAAAATCTGTACATCTCTTTTTTGGCTCTGTGGCCAAGCTGCGCGGGTTGGGAATGAACACGTTTGTGTTTTCCAGCCTCAAATATTCCTGTGCCAGCGGGGTCCAGGTCACGTTTTCCACTCCGGGCGTTTGCCCCCTCCGGTTCCTCAAGAAATCCTCTTCTCCTTCCCTCAGCTCCTCTTCTATTCGTGCCACCTGCAATTGTCAGACAAGTGGTGTCACCAAGCGAGTTAAAATTTTAAAAAGCTTTTCAATCAGTTGATTTCAAAACTCATTGTCATTAGAAACAAAAACCACGTGAAGGCGCCTCTCGTGCCACCGGCCGTGGGAGTGGTGCCTGGCTTTGTAATTATTGTTTTTTTTGCTTTATTTCTGTTTGAACTCAATTACTGCCATGGATTGGACACTTCCACTGAAATCTGCGCATCGAGACAGGAATTTCTCACGACTCCGTCTGCGAATGGTGTCGAAAAACAGCCACTTGGCAAGGAAGGGGTGAGGAGGAAATTATTGTCTGGCGGGTTTTTCTTGGTGGGAAAAGAACTGAAGCTTCTGCCATTTCCGTGCCAAAAATCAACACCTGGGGAAAAATGAGTGTTCCCTGTTGCCGTGGCAAGATTTTGTTTCCTGGTAAATCAAAATGAAGCTCCAAATCATTTTTCCCAAGAATATAATCCACTGGAGGGCAGAGTGAAAAAAGCAACGACCTCAGTCCTTCCCCAAAGTAGAAGGGAATTATTCTGATTAAGAGCACATGGAGACAGACACATCTGCATTGCCGGGGGGATTTCAAACACCCACAAATGTTGACTCACAGCAGCATTTACAGGTGTTCTGTCAGCCCCAGGCACTCATCATTTCCTGGCTCTCTCCCCATACCTGACCTTTATCCCCGGCCTTTGTCAGCTCTTACAGTACCCGGCGTTTCTGACAGGGGAAGGTGGGAATCACCCTCCTTCACACGGAGTTACACTCAAGACCCACACCCTGGACAACGGGAGCATCTAAAGAATCAATCTGCCAAGTGCATTTTGAGGTGAAATAATTAAAAAAAGAAAAAAAAAAGTGCTGCTCTGCCCCGCTGACAGACATCCAGTGGGGCTTCTTCCTTCACAACACAGAAGAGCTGGCTGGGAATGAGTCCTAATAATACAATTCCCCTTGTATTTATCCACGTCTTGAACTGTTCTGAAGTGCTTTTCAGCCCTGCCCTTGGAGCTGGGCTGCGTGCTCTGGCCACGGATCGTGTTGGTGAGGGGCGTGTGCTGGTGAGAGGGGCAAGCAGGACAGTTTATGGACAATTCCATCTGCTGCCCAGGGGTGCCAAGGGCATGAGGAGTCTGGGAGAGGGGCTCTGCCTCCTCTTCGTGCCCACAGGAATCCTGGTGCCAGCCTCATTTCTGAGAAGCTGAAATAAAAGCTTAGGAAAGGATGGACTGGCCAAAAGCACACGGGAAGTCCCAAAAAGACCGATCCCACTGTGTTTGTCTTGGAAAGACGACTGCCAGAGAGGTCCAGTGCAGGGCTTGGCCACATTAACCAGAGCCACTCAACCCCCAGGACTCCTCTATAATAATATATAAATAATGGCCAGTCTTCGCGAGCGAAGATTTGGGAAAGGTCATTAACCCTTCGAGCCTGCGCAGTGGATTTTTTTTTTTTTTTTAGGTGAGACACAGCTTGCGCTGGACTGAGCCCACCCTTTAATCCTGAGGTTCATCTGCCGGGGCCAAGCAAAGCTTGGACAGTGTCAGTGAGGTCCCCAGGACTTAGGTTTGTTTAGAGTGACCTTCTCTTAGATGGATGGCCTCACAGGGCTGACGAGCTCCATCTGCCCGGGGGGGCTGGGAATTGAACCCGGGTCACAGCGGTGAGAGTCCTGCACCCTAACCACTAGACCACTAGAGGCCCCATTTTTATTATTTATGACTTTCCTCTGTGGTTAAAAGCGCCCGTTGTGTTTTGGGGAGGTAGTGCTTGGCTTTGGGTGAGCACAAAGGGTTGTAAGAGCGAGGAAAATGGGTCCCAGATGATGGGTAGGGGACACCAGAAGAGCAGCTGGATTTACAGCAGCTCTTTTAGGAAAGTCCAGCAGTGTCTGCACTGCTCGGGATGTCCCCAGGAACCCCCAGTGTAAGGATGTTCCCACCTGGAACCGTGGTTTGGCCGTTGTTTGTGCTTTTCATATTTACAGAACAGCTGTCAGCTCCAACCTCCAAAATAAGCACTCTCATGGCACACTGGGAGCGGAAATAACAATTGCTGGCACCACTGCACTGTTCCTGCTGCAGCTGATGAGCTGTGATGGTATTTGCAGAGCAGGGATGGCTTTCAGACCCTTCCCTACTCGCAGCAAATCCCTGTGGTCGGTGCCTGAGCATGGACAGAGTTCGAGGCCTGTGGTCAGGTTTCCTTATGACACCTCCTTTTTTTCCCCTGCCTTTGGAACAGGTGGGACTCAGTGGGACATTTCCTTCCCCAGGAACAATCTGCTCTCCTGCCCTTTGCTGCAGGTTTTTACCTTCTGTATTTTAGTCCACACACGATCTCTGGTTCTTCCCGCGAGGAGGTCCATGGCATCTGCTGTCAGGGACTGCAGCTGTGGCACCGAGACACAAATGATCAGTGTGGAATTCATGGAGAAATGACTTAGCTGAATACACAGATTAAAACCTCACTAAAAATAATTTGCGCTCCGACGATTTTGTGACTCATCTTTCCTAGTGAGCGTGGGCAACTCGTCTTTGCTTCAGCCACTGCCCTGCATTACAGCAGATCTAAAATACTGTGGTATGGCCTCCCCCCAGTCCCCTTCCACCTCAGTCCTGGCATTGTCTCACCCTGCACACTTCCCAGACCCTGGGAAATGGTCCAGTGACTCCTAATTCAGTGACAGAGAGACAAGGGTTGGATCCAGGGTGTCCTGCTTGGAGCAGCCCTTGGCATCATTGTTTAGGAACAAACTGGGGGAATCTGGTATTTGATACCTGTGATGTCGTTGCACACTAGTAGGTCTCTTCCAAAATGTTGAGTGGGTTGAAGTGAACCCGAACAATACTTTTTGGAGCCTCTTCCCCAGTTTGTTGCTCATTACAAGTAATTAAGATCTATTAGCTCCACGTCTGTGTATATAAATATTCCCGGGTCCACTTCAATGAAATCGGAGGCACAAAGTTTACCCAAAGGCATCCCTTCAGGGGAGGGGGAGAGGCACTGGCTGCTGACTGAGCCCTGAAAAGTGGGAGTTTAGTGGGAGTGTCACCTGAAAAGTGGGAGTTTAGAATTTTACTCATCGGTCCCCCAGGAAAGGTGAGACCTTGGTGTCCAACAACCTGTCAGTGTCTCGTAAGGAGACCTTTCACCAACAGATTCACGATTTCGGAGGGTACCTCGACCACCCTTGTTAGGGGGAACTCAACAGAGCCAGGACCCCTCAGCGGGTCCTGCCAAGGTGTTTTCCGCTGCCGGCGGAAGGACTGCAAGGACTCCCTTTAACAGTTTGCAGAATAACACTTTTTATTAAAACGAATCGTGACAGATTAATAAGGTTGTTGGTGACAGTGTCTACTGCAAAAATATGTTTTAAAGCAATCTACTGATGCATATGTTGAGTGAGCACAAGCTCTAATATGAAGCAATCTAATCAAGCAAAAATTCTAGTGGTAAAAGCAGCATTTAACATGCATAGAGTGTATTTCTCATCCAAGGCAACCCTCTTGGGGGAGAGAAGATGGGCTCAGCCAGTTGACTGATCCAGCGGTTTCGGTTGAGGTCTTCTCCCCTTTTCCCCCTGCTCCCAACTTTTATCCCGTTTTCTTTATGTTAGGGTGGAGTTTGAGTGGCTCTAGCCATAAATACCTTTTATTTCTGATTGGTGTATTTAATGGGAGGGGGGTGGTGGTCGTGGTTTGGCCTCTGAGGAGGGGGTTCCCCAGGGTTGTGGCTTCAGCATCAGAACATCTTGGTTGTCCCTTGTCAGAGAGGTCCTGTAGCATCTCAATGCCACAGTGTTCTCCCCCTCTGCTGCGACTGGAAGGGAGGGGGGGCCATGTAGTCTCCACCTCGTTCCACACTCTGTTCTGTTTCTCTGAGCAGATATTCATTGTTTTACTGGGGAGCTCAGCAACATGTCGACCTCAGTCTGTCCAGGGAGTGGCAGCTGCCTTTTACCTTAAACTTCTGAGTCCCCTCTAGATTTAACTCTATCCAACATCCCACACCGAGCAAGAAGGAGATGTTTCCCCCTACTCTTTTTTCCCCAACCCCACTTTAATACCATAGTTTTTGGCCTCGTTTGCTCCAGCCATCATCCCACCATTGGCCCTTGCTGGTTTGCTCAGCCAAGGGGCCACTCCACGTGTTTCTCAACAGCCTCTGATTCTTCACCAATTTATGGCACCTCTGCAGCAAGTCTGAGAACTTACCACGAGCAGGCAGATGGGTTCATTCCGAGACAGGGAGCATGTTGTGGATGGACCCAGCACAGAAAATCAAATTTTCCCTCTTTTCCCCCCCTCTCCTCCTTAGTTATAACTGGATTTGGGCTGTTTTGCTGCAGGTGCCTTTTGAGGTCGAAAATGTCAAGGGAGCATGATCTGAATGACTGCAATCATTTCCCCAGGCTGATCTGGGGAGGTCTGGGGGGGAAGGAGGGGTTTTAAACAGGTGCTGACAAGTGACTCCTGGTGGTTCTATCAAAGTTACCCTTGCAGGTGATCAGCACCTCCTCTGACAAAGCACCGAAGGAGGATTTAAAAATCCCTTCAGGTCCCCACATTGGACAAATTACTTGCAGAGAGAGAACGTGGCAGCACAGAACTCTTCTCTGGCACTTCCCTCCCTGGCTCCCAGCCTGCGAAGGGAGTGTCAGAAATCAAAACCTACCAGCTTGTCATCCTCCTGAGAGACTCTCTGCAGGTAGGGAATGGTGGCCAGCTCAGCCATCACCTGGGCCATCACCTGGGCCTGTTCCTCCCCTCTCTGCAGGCAGCCGAGCAGGCTGGCGCGGTGGAAGTGCTCGATGGCGCGGGCGCACGGGCTGCGCTTGTCCTGTTCGCCCAGGGACAGCCAAGAGGTTAGAGGAGAAGCTCAGGGAACAAACACCCTGATCCTCGGAGTCCTGGGCCTCCAGGCTTCTCATCGTGTTTGTGCCGGCAAGACTTTCTTGCCACAACCTCTGTGGTAGTACCAGAAAAACAAAGACGTCATCACGGCAAACGTAACAAACACGACTGCGGTTTTCCCCTTTGTTAAAGGGCTTTTTCCATGATCCCCCACATTAAACATCACCTGAATTCCTGGGTGGCTTTTCCAGCCTTGGGGAGCAGGCTGAGGAGGGCGTGCAGGGTGTCAGCTCACTGTCTGGGTGCAGACAGGCAAATCCATGGTTTTCAAACAGACCCTGGAGGGACTAAAACCTGCAGAGGAATTCTCAGACCTCCACGCAGCCAGGAACGTGGGAGATTTTAAGTGTGTTAAACCTTGACTTTCACATCTTACCCACTGCACTGTGTGTAAAAATCACGTCATTAACTCCAGGTTGTGTGGCTGCAAAACCAAGGGGGCAGAATTTATTTCTCTTAGGTGTTGCCATGGCTTAATGAGCACTGAGATAGTTTTGTCAAAACCAGTCTGATCAGAACAAGAAGCTGGATTGTACATTTGCATCTGCAAATGAGGAAGAGGGCAGGAAGAATTGTTTGTTCTATTAAACCCTAAATACATTATTTTATTCTCTTACAGTAAGTTGCAAGGCTCGACTCTGTAGCTGAAGTTTGTCTGGCAGAAGTTTTTAATTTAGCTTCTGCGTGATGTAAATAATATGAAATCGTATTTCCAGCTTGAAGACAATTGTGGAATACTTTGAAGGAAGCAGAAGTGGTCCAATCTGTGTCGGAGATGCTGGTCCCCAGCAGCAGAGCAGCTCTGGCTCTGTGCCCATCTCTGTTCCCAGGTAAAACCAGCTTTGCCACCTGCTCTTTGGATCAGAGGTTTGGTCTTGCTGGGATCATTCAGTGCTCTGAAAACTGAAGTGAAAGGGAGTATGTTTCCCCTGATAGTGGATGTGGAACTGGCAGCTGTTTGTTCCAGTTTAGTGACCATCTCTTCTCTCTTGGGGCTTTCTTCCTCCCCAGTAAAGCTCCTACACTGACCCCCAGGGTTGGTTATGAATCTGTAGGCCCAGGGCTCAGCCCCGTTCCCCCATCCTTGCTGCCCTGGAGATGGCATGGGGGTGACCCTTGCCTGAGCCATGGGGATGCTGTGCCAACCTGTTTGGAAAACAGGTCAGCTTGCTGCTGCTTTTAGTGGTGTTGGTGTTTCACCCTGTTGTTTTGGGGACCACCCTTCTGTTTCAGCCAGAATGTTGAAATGTCTGAGGGGATGTCTAAAGCTGGTAGAAAATACTGGTGTGTAGGGGCAGTGTAAATTCCTAGAGTGAGTGAGGACTGGCTTCAGCACTCCTAGCCCAGCACTCTGCTCTCATCTCTCACAGGATGGGTTTCTTGTCCCTGTGCCCTGGAAACTAGGTCCCACCTCTCTCTGCTTGAACTGTGTGGTCCTGTTCCTACAAATTAATTGACAAAATAGGGCAGTCACGGGGAATCCAAAAGATGCCTGATTTCAAAATTTTTTCTCTTTTTGCTGCTCTTCAGAAACTGAAGAGCTGCAATAGAGGGATCTCACCTCCAAAAGCAAAGGCAGAATGGCGGGGTCAGAAAATTGCAGTTTTCCTGGGGCTTTCAGACAGACCAGGGTTTTTATTGTCTATCCAGTATCCAACCCACTCTCTGTGGGTTGGAAGCTACAACTAGAGCTTCTTTAAGTGCCCTGGAGTGTATGCCCACAGCAGGAACAGACCCTCTGCTTTCCCAAAGCTGTTACTTGTATCAGCCTGCACATCAGCTCACCCAAAGGCAACAGCAAAAGGCTTCAGGAAAGCACTGGAAAAAAGCAGCTGTGTTTTCTTGGGGGGGTCTGCCCTTCATCTGCTCCACCTGCCTCACACCAGTGGGGATGCTTTGCAAGCACCCATTGTGGCCAAGCACTGAGCACCTTTCCCTCTACTGAGGGGGTGAGTTCAGGCACTTACTGTTGTTTCACCAGCTGTTCTCTGGAAGGAAAGAAGTCACAGTTTCCCTAAGTCTCTAGCTCATGTTTCTTTTATCAGGAGGAGCATTTAACAATTCCATGAAAAGAGTCTCGTCCGTGTACAACATTGATTTTTGACCTCTGTGCTGATTGTCAGCCACAGTGCTAAAAAACTGTCCATTATGGCACAAAGGAGAGAGCAGAGGCAATTATGATCACTTTGCTTATGGTTGTAGCAGATGGGAAGGCTGTTTCACATCCTTCACTCCGTAGGGATCACAATCTCAATCCCTAGAAATGCTTCAGGTAGCAATTATTCTCTCTTGGAGGAGATCCTGCTGGTATGTGCAGTCTGCTCTGGGTATTAAATACAGCAACTGTCTTGGTGGTTACGTGGAGTAGGGATATAATATTATAGGCCATAAAGATTGGAGAAAATTGCATGGGATAAAGTGTCTCAACCCACCGGAACTCTGTTCCTAAAGCAACTCCCGGAGCCTTTCTGGATGCTGGCAGAGCATGTGCAGCAGGAAGCACACCCCAAAAGCACACGTCCTTTCCACACACAGAGGCTTGTGTCACCACACACACCTGAAAGACAGTGGAATACTCACCTTTATTTTGGTGCTTCCTATAAAATCTATGACTGCCATGATCTTTTTCCCGGTGTTTTCCCAAAATGTTTCTGTTTCTTCCTCTGTGCTGGGACTGAAAGCTGTTTTCTGACCTAGGAAGTGAAATCACAGAACCGCAGAGGCCGTGTTTATTCATCTCCCTTTTTCCTAGAGGATCTGGCAGGATGTTGGGTAAACTGGAGGAGGAATGAAGGGGATGGGGAGAGCTCTGAGCAGTCAGGGCTGCCAGCCCAGAGAAATGGCTCCTGGGACAACCCCACACCCCTCATTTAGCAAGGATCATGGGGATCACCCCCGAGCCAGCTCAGTTACTAAGCAAGTTGGCACACCTGGACAGATGGGCAGTTTTCGAATTACAGACTTTTCCACAGTTTTTCCAATCTCTCTGTTTCTGAAGCCCAAAGTCAGCAAGTACTCTTGGTCAGGCAGAGACTCAGCTCTCTCTGGCAACAGGTGAATTCCGTGAGGATCTGTGATAGGGAAAGGAAAATCATTTCCACTGTCACATTTCTTTTCAGTTGTAAGAGAAGTTTTATTTTTTTTTAGAAAAATAAGGAAGTCTAAGGAGGAGAAATGTTCTCCAGAAAGCTTGCCAGAACCAGGTGACCAAACCAACCCATCCAGCTCTCTCAAATTTGAAATTTAGGACTTTACAAGCCTTTTGCATCAACAGCTTCAATTTTGCTGATGCCTGAGACAAACCATACTCTGCCCAATTCCCTGCAACAGTGGGACATTGTTGTGTCTGGAGCTCAAGCAGCACAAACTCTCAAACTCTCTCAAGCTCTTTTGGACTCAGCCCCGCACACAGTCCACAGAGAAACCTGCTGTTACCTGTGAATATGTGCTGCACATAATCAGGGTGCTTTTCAGCAAAGCTTTTATTGGCCTCCTTTATTTTGTCAGCCTCGTCCTCTTTCTCAAAAGGGGTGTACAGAACGGAAAAAGACACTTCTCCACTGAGGGCTTCTTGAATCAGAGCCTAAAAAAAGGCAAAGAAATGATACTTTTCATGTTGGGTAATGGCTAGTTAAAAAAACCCAAGCAAAACAATCAGGTGGGTTGGATAGAGACTCCACAAACCTCTGTCTTCAATGAGGGGACAATTACTAGATTATTTGTCTTTTAGATGAAAAGAAAAAGTGATTCCATGCTTTCTGAAGGTCACATCAGGAAGACTTTATAAAAAAATAGCTTAGGTAACAGTATCCAAAATTAAATTTTATAGCAGTCCATAAAATTGAAGCATGATCCAAGGGTTAACAACCTTGAATTTATCTCTTAAAATTAGTCCAAACAAATCTACTCCATCATAAGTCCAAAAGTGTGGGGAATGTGCAGGCTGAAGGCCTGGAAAGAACCAGGCCTTAGCAGCAGGTTTTGGGCTGAGCAGAGTACAGAGCAACTCATCACAGGAACGCGCTGTGACCCCGAAAGCCTGCCCTGTCCCCCTGTGGCAGCAGCCAAGCAGATGCTGCAGTTACAGTTTTTGCCTCGTAAGGAATCCTTCCATGTCTGTGTAGGTTATAAAAGACTGTGCCCTTTGAATAAAGTCGCCTCAGTTCCTCTCCCCACCGAGCCCACGCCTTCAATAAGCCACACAGAAGGGCTTGTGCAGTGTCCTGCTGACTGATGTGCCCAAGAGCTCCCTTTGTGGGCAGCCTTTTTAGCAGGAATCCCCCCCTGTTGATCCCACTACTGAGACAGGCACCCAGTTTCTCCTTTGGCTCTCAGTTTTCACCTGCCAGTAGAGCTGGATGAGGTCACTTGTCTCCAGGGCCGTGCCCCCTGCCAGGATGTACAGACAGTCAGCAATCATGGCACTCCTGAGAACAAAAGCAGCAGAAATGAGCTTACAGGCAGAGAAGGGGGTCTGTGGCCAGACTGAAGGGAAGTCACATTAAAAGAGTGTAACGTGGGGTTTGTCCCAAAAAGTTGCACAGAACTCTCAAGTCCTTGCCCCACATTCAGATAAGCATCAGGGAACACACTTTTAGCTTGGTTAACTCTCTGCCAGCAAACAGCCTGTGGGGTCATTTAGGACCATAGCTGGGGTTATTCATGTTACACCAACTGGGAGGGCTCTGCCGCTCCTGAGATCTCACACACACAAAGCCAGTGCAAAGCTCCCAGTGGTTTGGCAAAAGCCTGGCTGTGAGAGGATGTCCTCACTCCCGAGAGCTGGGCTGAGAGAGCCCTGCAGCAGCCGCAGCAGGGCAGTACCTGGCAGCCTCTGAGTATCTCTGCAGGCACCGAAAGCAAGCGGCTTGGCGGAGGTGATTGCGGAAATAAGAGGGGTTCTGAATGATGCTCCTGGGAGAGAGAAGGATGGGCAAGGTTAGATTGTTAGTCACTAAAGCTCATGGGAATCAAACTGTGACTAAAGCACAAACCACATGCACTTATTCTCTACAACTCAGTGCTATGTCTCAAATATCAGCAAACTCTTCAAGACAAGAGGGCTCGGTCTCGAGTTGTGCCAGGGGAGGTTTAGGTTGGATATTAGAAAGAATTTCTTTACAGAGAGGGTGGTTAGACATTGGAATGGGCTGCCCAGGGAAGTGGTGGATTCTCTGTCCCTGGAGATTTTTAAAAAGAGACTGGATGTGGCATCAGTGCCATGGCCTAGTAACCACCGTGGTAGTGGATCAAGGGTTGGACTTGATCTCAAAGGTCCCTTCCAACCCAGCTGATTCTATGATTCTGTGATTCTATGATACTTCCTCTCTGTCTCCCTCTCCTCTCTCCAGATGTGGTCTGTGAACAAGCATTACTAAAGTTTTCATTGTGATTTTATCATAAATGCAATTTCAGTAGAGTTCTGTGTATTCTAGGAAAGAAGTTCCAGGGACATCATTCTCTCTTGGCTTTAGTATGTAGGTAACATAAGCAAAACTGCTACAGCACAAGTTCTTTTAACCCTCAGCTCCCCAAACAGGAGTGGCAGGTGTCTGACCCATCTCCCTGGTAACACTGTGCATCTGGAATATATCGCAATGTTAACTTGAGAGATTTTGAAATCCTTCCTGTACAAGGGATAGGTTCTATGTGGGTGAACCCTGGCACGTGTGTTAGACCCTTAGTTCAACAGGTGAAGTTCCAGGTGAAACAGATTTCAGGCTTTAAGGTAACATGATAAAACTGGCAGCAGCTCAGCAGTGAGACTGGCAGAGAGGGCAGCTCCTGATGGGAGGGCTCACTGCTTCCACTCCTCTGGCTCACCTGACAGAATACTCCAGTTGGCAGAAATACAGGTTGTGTCCCTGCCAGCTGTGCCCTGGGAGTGCCCTTGATGTTCTCTGACCACTCCTGGGCTCTCAGCCCAGAACTGGTGGTTGGAACTAGTCTGAAGGATGCCCCCCCTCCACGTGTCTGGGCCTGGGGAGGCTGCACACACAGGCTCCTTCCCTTCTACATGATCAAAGCACTGAATGTGTGCAGGGCTGTTAAAGCTGAAATCTCCAGTTTGGAGGATTAGTCCAATCTAAACATGAGTGCAACGTGTCAGGTGTATTTTATTGATTCCTCTTTTCTCATTATTAGACTGGTTCTTCCTGCACAGCACCTATTTCTAGTCTTTGTTCAATTTTGGATTTCAGTCCTAGTAGTGAATCTAATCAATCCTTTTTCTTACCTGTGTGAATGACTCAGAGCAATGTCAGGCTGCCCCAGTTTTAAGTAACAGATGACAAGTTTTGACTCGATAAAACTGGCAACTCTGGAAATATCATCTGGAGAGGACTTCAAGGGATCCTCTGTAGCAAAGCCTCTACTGCAAAGCTGCACGTGAAATAAAACCATTATTTACAAATGTTATAACACACCATTTGCTAGGTGGAAAGGCTTTTTGTGACTGATCAGTGGAGAAAACTGAAGTACAACAGACTCTGGCTTTACCTAAAGGCAGCATTACAAAAATCAGCACAGACCACAGAATTGTCTTTCAGGGATGTTCTGGTTTTTGCTTCTGAGGAGAGCTGGATTAAGAGACTGCTGTGAAGCCCCAGCCCTACAATTCTGGGATGTCCCAATCACTCTGTCCACAATCCCAGGAAAGAATTCCTTAATCTCTAGTTACTCTTTCTCCAGTATGTCTATTTGCCAGCCTTTCCATTTCCTCTTAGGATGAGCCAAGTCCTCCTTTCTTCTTCTGCAGCCAGTGGTTCTGTCCCCTCTACAGCTCATTTCTGAATATAGGGAGCAAAAAAGCACCTAAAAAGGATGACACTTGCTAATTTTACTCATTGACTGCTATAATATTTCTTGCTTAAAAAAATGGCTTCAGTATGGTAGAAAAAAGAAGGAGGAATAGGATATTTGCTTGTGAACTGGAAAGCTCTAAGCTTTTACAAATGCTTTTGAATAAGGTTTAGCACAAAACAAGTGTAGTTGGCTCCTTTTTCAGGATGTCAGGTACCCAGCTGAAGGGATTGGGGTCAGAGTGGAGAGGAATTTTTAGAGACAGTGAAGAGTCCAGCTTGCAAGTCCTCTATTCTCATCACCAACCATGTTCCTGTAAAGCAGAAAATGGCTCTAGTTTTTCCTTTTCTCTTTGATTTGAGAGCTCCCAGGAGTGCTTTTAGCATCCTGTCTCATGGAAAAAGTGAAGCCCTCGTCTGCATGGTCGGTGTCAGCAGCCAGGTTAGTTGTGTGGCACCTTTCATGGTTTATGAGAGAGCTGTTCTCTGGGAGACAACACTGGTGGATGGAAGGGTGACCCACCTGCTGGGCTCTCCTACACCTCCTTTCTCTCCTCTCTCCCCTGTAAAATTCATTGCAACCTTGCCAGAGGACATCCCTCTTTTACTCTTCTCATGTTACACTGATAAAACTCAAGGCTGGCCGAGATTTTTAAAAATGTCCAAGGTCTGTAGATTTTGGGGGGTTCATCCTGAAACTGGAAATCATAGAAATAACTACTGATGGAAGAACATGTCCACTTCAGACAGCTCAGATGTGAGTCCATTGTACTTCTTTAGTACCTCAGGAAGTGTTCCCACAAAACTCAGTGTGTGGACTCTGAGCTGCTGAAGAGAACACCCCCAAAGTTCTGAGGGGTTGATCCCTATGGGACCTGTCCTGTCTCATGCAGAAAGAAAAGGATTCCTGCCCAGCTCCGGTGGCATCTTCTGTCTTCAGAGGAAAAAAAAAGAAACAGAGGACATGATGGAAATGCCATAAAGGGAAAAAAGGGACTCAAAGGGACCTGTTGTTCAAGCAAAATATTAAACATTTGACCCAGGTAGTGCAGGGACAGCTGGGGAAGAGTGGGAACTCCCCTGATTATTGAGACGTCATTTGTTGCTGATAGAGCTGGGATTAAAGAGGGGAGAAGTTTTTCCCCTTTATGGGACTTCAATTTCTTCCACACATAAACACAGTCAAGGACTCGGAGAAAAAAACAAAAGCACCTGAGATTCTTTGGTTTAAGCTGAGCCTCCACCTTCCTTTTTTTTTTTTTTTTTTAATAGCTCTTAATTTTCAGATTTCGCATGAAATTGCACCTCAGGGTTTCTAACCAGCCCTCCCCACCCCAGTACCTCCAGTGCCGTGTAGAACTTGGCCGCCGCTGCCGCGAACTGCTCCTGCCTGCACCGAGCGCTGCCCTCCTGCAGGAGCAGCTGAAGCCGCGCGTCCACGCAGCGCCAGGGGCTGCCCTCGGGGGGTCTGGCAGGAGCCTGATGTGCTGGTGGGGTCACTCCGGGCAACGCCAAGTCGCCAAACCCGAACTCGGTGTCTGCCTCATCGGCACAGACCAACTGAGCTTCTATTTCCCTGAGTTTGCCCGGAGGGATGTGAAGCGGAGGGCTCGGGAATATCCCCACCCCAGGCTCCAGTTGTGCTCCTGCTTTTGTCCCAGTCAGATCTTCGTGGCTGTCTCCTTTCGTTTTACAGTTTCCTCTGTCTGTGCCAGCCCTGGGTTGTTCTTTGTGTTGCTCTGCCCCCTGCCACGCCTGCCAGAGAAGGAGCGGGAGGTGAGGAGACAACTGTGCGATTTGAAGTAATTTTATAGAATCAAAGAATGGTTTGGGTTGGAAGGGACCTCAAAGATCATCTCGTTTCAACCCCCTGCCATGGGCAGGGACACCTTCAACTAGTCCAGGTTGCTCCAAGCCCTGTCTAACTGTCCTTGAACACTTCCAGGGATGGGGCAGACAAAACTTCTCTGAGCAACCTGTGCCAGAGCCTCACCACCCTCACAAGGAGGAATTTCTTCCCAGTATCCAATCTAAATCTCTTTCAGCTGAAAGCCACTCCCCCTTGTCCTTGTCACTGCTTGCCTTTGCAAAATGTCCCAGGAGAGCTCTGGTTTGTTTCAAAAAGTGATTTCTGAAAATGCTTTGCATTTAAAATCCTTTGCCGTGGATTTTAGCACCAAACGAGATGACATTAAGGGGCAACATTTTAAAATTAGTTGCCTTCCATTCTTTTAACTTTACTGAATGCATTTGGATAAATAGATTTGGAACATGTTAAATTAAATTAAATGAAAAAAAAAAGGAAATAGAAGGAAATAAAATCCAAGTAACTGCAAAAAAGCCTTTTCACAGTCATGAAATGGAGATCTAATGCTCCTTCTTTACTTTAGCCCAGTATGAGGAGGACAGGTGTTCTGTCATGTTCCAAAGCACCATCTGAAATATCTCTTCTGATCCTAACGAGAATGGTGTCCATTCATGGAGAACCAATTGTAAAATCCACTTATATGCATTAAATCTATTTCTACACTAAGCACATTGCTTGTGCTTGGCACATTTATTAGTGTGATTACAATAAAGTTATACAGAGCCAGCTGAAATCAGGTTCCTGGTTTAGTTGTACGTGTTCCCTGTCAAAGAGGTTAAGCCGACCGAGCAGAGGAAAGGAGTCTCCTTTGGGGTAAAATGGCAACACAGAAATCAAGCCCACAGAAATGAATCCCACCCAGGAACAGACAGAAAATCCATGGCAGAGCAGCTTCAGCCTTCCAGGGTTCCTGCAGTTCTCTTCCCCCCTAAACCCCATTTAAAAACGGTCCTAAGCCATTCAGCACAGTTGTACTCACCTCAGGGGCTCTTGAGGAAGATCCCTCTTGAGGAAACATGTGGGAAGGGAACCACTGGCTCAGTCCAAGCTCCTGAGACACCTGGAAGAGCACAAGTATGAATACACTCAGATTGTATGGCTGTCCCTGAGGCAGTCGGTCCTAAACGCTTTCCCCCTGCCCCACCTCAGGAATTCCAGCTCAGCTCTTCCTTCACTCCTTGGGAATACTTTCAGCCCAGTAGTTTAAAAACAGAACAAACAGAACGTGCTGGAAGGTGTCTTGCTAGTATAGAACACCAGAAAGGAAGTTGTTAGGGCCCCATTCAGCCTGGCCTCGAACGGTTCCAGGGATGGGGCAGCCACAGCTGCTCTGGGCAACCTGTACCAGGGCCTCACCACCCTCACAGGGAAGAATTTCTTCCCCATATCCAATCTATGCCTGCCCTCTGTCAGTTTGGAGCCATTCCCCCTCGTCCTGTCCCTGCAAGTCCTTGTCCCAAGTCCTCCTCCAGCTCTGCCTGTGCCTCTTCAGATGCTGGAAGGGGCTCTAAGGTCTCCCTGGAGCCTTCTTCAGGCAGAGCAGACCCAACTCTCTCAGCCTTCCCCACAGCAGAAGTGCATCAGAAGAGCATCTTCTGATCATTCCTGTGGCCTCGTCTGGGCTACCAAGAATCCTCTGGGAGATGACTGGAAGAAACCCATTGAGGTCTCTGGCAGTTGCTGAGGCTGGGCTGTAAATTGGGGCGAAGGGAATGCGATGAAAAGCTGCTCTCTCGTCAGTGCCCAGAGCCTCCAGTGTGGCAGTGACAGAGGAGGAGGTGTGGGTGTCCTCAGGGAGGGGCCCTCCATCCCTCCCAGGCCTGTCCCCATGGCCAGCACCAAAGCTGCTGCCAGCTCTGGAACAGCAGACTGTTGTTCCCAGAGGGAACCATTCCCCATGGGACAGCCCAGGCCCGCTTGTACCCCCTCTGGGCCTGGCACAGGGAGAGCTGCACCTCTCCCACTCACCTGCTGGGTCTCCATCAGCCGTTCTGGCAGTTGCCGGGTTCAAACCCCACACCTGGGGCGGTTGGGGAGGCCCAACTGCCTGCTGGCCCCACACCCCGTCCCCACAGCCCCGGGGGTCCCACAAACATTGATGGTGCCCACTGGGCACTGTTCGTGCTCCAGAAATGCTGCTCAGGAATGCTTTGGTGGCTCCAGGCCCAGTTCCAGCGAGGTCAGTTAGAAACTGCCAAATCAGCCCTTCCTTCCCCTGCTGTGTTTGTGTGCGGCTTGTCAGGGGCTGACACCGGGCTGGGCTTTTACCTTAAAATGATTCCAAACAGCATTTTCCTGTGGGAACAGCTTTCAGGATGGTACTGGTGGGTGGCATTGAAAGGGATGTGACTCAGGTCCAAACATGTCGTTTCAGGCCCAGTTTTCACAGCTGCTGAACACGGTTCTGCTGAAGTTAAACACAGATTTTGATGGTCGATTGCTCTGAAAACCAAACTCAGAATTGGTAACAGCTTTCATTATGTCTTATGTCTCTGGCTGCTGTTGTCCAGAATTAGGTTTAAAGTCAGCTGGAAGGGCATTTCAATGTGTTTTTTCTGCAAATACTGCAGCAAAAAGAAGTGGTACATTATGATAAAGTAGGTTCTGTTTTATTTATGTCTTACTTTCATGCCTGGGAGTATCTGACTTTAATAAAATTCATTTTTAAATGGACCTCAAAGTTTAAATAACTCAAAGCAAATTTCTTCCTAAACAAGAATGTCTTTGTGTGTTCTGCCATAAAAAAAAAAAAAAAGGAGGATGAGCTGTAAAATACCTTGGGAAATATGGACTTGCTTGTTTGTTCCTACTCTGAATGGCCAACTGGATAAATCCTGCTATGGTTTGGTGCAGAAACCCAAGTCCGTATTTCTTTTGTACCTCAGAACTTGCAGAATGGTTTGATTTATTTTTTTTTTTTTCAGAAGCCTTCTGACAGTAAAGAAAAATGTGGTTTGTCTTTTTGGTATAGCAGGGTTTTTGGTCCTTTGTTTTGGTTTTTTTTGTCTTTTAATGTATTTATGTATTTATTTTTATTTTTAATGACTCTTAAATATTGCACTTTATTAATAGTGGCTACAAGTAGAATTAAAATAAATCCTTAGCTGCAACGTGGAAGCTATAAATTTAGCAGCCACTTGCTCTGCTCTGTTGTGTCATTGCTCTGTGTGAAGCCACCGCTGCCAGGGGTCCCTATTTCACTGTTTGTGAAAATTCAGTGGCATTGTGCACACTTCAGAAAGAGAGGGTTCATTACAATTAAATTTATTGCCTGAGCTGTTCTAGTCTGAGTGTTTGAAGCTTGTTTCCTAGCATTGCTGGTTTTCTCAGCTTCTGTTAGTATTTGTGATTTTATAATGAAATGTCCTCAGATATGATTTTGCAAGGTTCTGTAATCAGCTTGCTATTTTCCTCTTGGATTTCTTCATGCAGGGACAGGAGTGAATGCAGTATTTTGAGTGGGAACCCTTCAGATAGGATTCTCTCAGTAGCAGCTGATTTTTGCATGTCTAAATAGAGGTAACAAGGAGGAGTAAGGCAGTGAGTGAGCACAGGAGAAAGACTTGAGAATCTAAGTGGAGGTTTCCCGCAGGCAGCAATGCTGAACAGTGTTGTAAAATTGAAAATGTACAAAATACACCAGTAGCCAATATGAAAGGATATAGAATTGTTACAGTGACACTTAAACGCTGTTTATTTCTTTCATCCAAAGAAATTAAGTGATGTTGTGGTTGCTGTACTTGGGAGGAGTGGAAGGTCTGTGGTCACCAGGCTGAACAGCTTTATTCTGGAGTGAAAGCTCAGTGCTGGATGCTGAAATAATTTCATAGAATCACAGAGTATGTTGAGCTGGAAAGGACCCATCAGGATCATCATGTCCTGGCCCTGCACAGGACTCCCCAATAATCCCACTATGTGCCTGAGAGCACTGTCCAAACATTTCTTGGTGTCGTGACCACTTCCTTGAGGAGCCTGTTCCAGTGCCCAAGCACCCTTTGGGTGAAAAACTTTTCCCTGATATCCAACCTAGACCACTGCCAACTGAGCTCCAGCCATTTCCTTCAGTCCTGTCACTGGTCACCACAGAGAAGGAATCGGTACCTGCCCCTCCACTGCCCCTTGGGACAATGTTGAAGACCCCAATGAGGTCTAACCTCAGTCTCCTCTTCTCCAGGCTGAACAGACCAAGTGACCTCAGCCACTCTTCATAAGGCTTCCCCTCCAGACCCTTCACCACCCTTGTGGTCTTCCTTTGGATGCTCTCTAATAGCTTCATGTCTTTTTCATATTGTGGTGCCCAAAACTCATGTTCAACTTGCCACTGACCAGGCCCCCCAGGCCCCTTTCTGCAGCTGCTCTCCAGCCTCTCATTCCCCAATCTATCCACACAACAGTTGCCCTGTCCCAGGTGCAGAATCTTCCAGTTGCCCTCGTTAAACTTCATAATGTTGGTGGTGATTGCCCATCTCTCAAATTTGTCCACACCTCTGCAGGGCCTCTCTGCCCTTGGTGGGGTGAACAGCTTCTTCCATTATAGTGTCATTGGCAAACTTACTCACTATTCCTTCCAGTCCTGTGTCCAAGTCATTTATGAAGAGAACTGGGCTGAGGATGGAGCCCTGCAGAACCCCACTAGTGACTGGTGCCAGCCTGATGTCACCTCGTTCACTGTAACTCTTCGTGCCTGACCTGTGAGTCGGTTGCCCACACACCACATGATGTGTTTATCCAGCTGTGGTCCGGACAGTTTGTCCAGAAGGAAACTGCGAGACACAGAATTGAAAGCTTTGCCAAAATCCCAAAAAGATTACATCAGTTGGCTTCCCCTGATTAACCCCATGAGTTGCCCTGTCGTAGAAGGCAATCAGGTTCAACAAGAAGGACTTTCCCCTCATGAAGCTGTGCTGGCCGTGACCAATGACTGCATTGTCCTCCAGGTGTTTTTCAGTGCTTCCCAGAATATTTTTTTCCCATGATTTTACCAGGCACTGAAGTAAGACTGACATGCCTGTAGTTTCCAGGGTCCTCCTTATTGCCCTTCTTGAAAACTGGGACAATGTTTGGCAGCTTCCAGTCAGCTGGGACTGATTTCCAGTGGGGCCCCAAACAGCAGCGAGCTTTTGAACAAATCAAGCAGGAAATTGCCCACGCTGTAGCCCTTGGGCCAGTCAGGACAGGACCAGATGTGAAGAATGTACTTTACTCTGCAGCTGAGGATAATGGTCCTTCCTGGAGCCTCTGGCAAAAGTTGCCTGGAGAGGCCCAAGGCCGCCCACTTGGATTCTGGAGCCGAAGCTACAGAGGATCTGAAGCCAACTACACCCCAACAGAGAAGGAGATCCTAGCGGCTTATGAAGGGAGTGCAAGCTGCCTCAGCGGTGATTGGCATGGAAGAACAGCTCCTCCTGGCACCTCGATTACGAGTGCTGAGCTGGATGTTCCAGGGAAAGGCGCTCCCTACACCTGCCTGCCATGGGAAGGACACTGCAGCCCCACCTCCTGAGTCGCCAGCGCCCCTGCTGTGCCTGGTTACAGCTGCGCCAAAAGGCAAAGAAGTGCTTGAATGTTTTGAGTGAAAGTTGGGTTACGGGACTGTTGCTTGTTTGTTTGTTGTGTTACCTGTATAAATATATATACATATTCTTTAGTAAACAGCAGTTATTTTTCTTTTCCACAACTTTCAACTGGAGCCTCTTGATTTCAAAGTTGTAATTGCTCGGAGGGAGGAGCTTGGTTGTTTTTCCCATATCCTGCTCTCCTAGCAGAACATTTCTATATCATTAAACTGAGAAAATATGATAGGCCGTGATATCAAAAAGGGGCCCATGGAACACAGGTGGGGCTGAACTGTGGGGGTGTGGAACATTGGTTCTCTGGTCTCCAGGGGCCATTCTGGAATGGAGACGATAGATTGTGACATCACAAAGGGGTCCATGGCCCACAGGTGGGGCTGAACTCTGGCATTGCTGGGCGTTGGTTCTTTGGTCTCCAGGGGCCATTACGGAATGGAGAGGATAGGCCATGACATCATAAAAGGGGCCCATGGAACACTGGTGTGGATGCACTGTGATGGTTTGGGGCCTTTGTTCTTTGGTTACCGTGGCCATTGCAGAATGGAGAGGATGGGCCGTGACAGCACAGAGGGGTCCATGGCACACAGGTGGGGCTGCAATGTGCAGGTCTGGTGCTTGGTTCTTTGGTTACCATGGTCATACCAGAACGGAGAGCATAGGAAGTGACATAAGGGAGGGACCCATTGAACACGGGTGTGGCTTCATTGCGGGGGTGTATGGTGTTGGTTCTTTGGTTGCCATGGGCGACTCCAGAATGGGAGGATAGGCCTAGATATCACAAATGGGTGAGGCTGCAATGTGGGGGTGTGAGGAGATGGTTCATTGGTTGCCAGGGACCATTCCGGAATGGTAGAGGACAGGCTGTGACATCACAAAGGGGCCCATGGCACACGGGTGGGGTTACAATGTGGGGGTGTGGGCCATGTCCTCTTTGGTTTCCATGGGCCATTCTGGAATGGAGAGGATAGGCCGTGACATCACAAAGGGGCCCCACTGAGCTCCCAACTTACTGTGGGGTGCTGGGGGCTGCTGGATCCAATCTCAGCCTTGGGTTATGCCAACAGCTTCAATTTAGAGGAATTACAGAGATGTGACTGAAGCACTTTTGTCCCCCAGGTTTTAATGATGGCAAAACAGATCTATTGATAGAAATGAATTATTTAGGGTTACAAATGATCAGACAAAAGATCTTCATCAAAATTATTTACTGCACAGTAGAAACACTAAAACTACCATGAGTACGGGATAAGATAGGACAGTGCTCTACCCTACAGCAATTGTTGAAGCAATTCTACTAAAGCTGGCACAAAAGCAATAATTCTTAATTAGAGATGGATGGAACTCCCCCAGACCAACACTGGTGGGGAGATCTCTGCTCTCAGCCTCCAGGAGTGACCCTGGGGGGTCCCCAGCCAAGGCAGGAATTTCCACACAGCCCCCCCGGAAGGGTTCTGTTGGCAGAAGCTGCCCCTGTGAAAGGGGACTGGCCCTTTCTGGTAGAAACCTCAGTCCGCTCAAAAGCAAAGGGCCGCTATGACGCCCCGCAAAGACTGCAACTCCCATGGTGCCCCGCGCGGCGCGGCGGGTGGGCGGGCGGAGGGCGCAGGCGCGCGCTGATTGGCTGCGGCGAGGGTCAGTAAAGGCGTTGCGCGCGCAGAGCGCCGTGTTGGCTGCCGGGAAGCGATGGCGGCGGCGCGGCCTGCGGTTCGTGTGAGAGCTGGCG